GGTATTGTTTATACATATAATTTAATAAGTTTTTTAAAAGAAAACCAAATAAATAGAAGATATGAAGCAGATATCGTGATACTCATTGTCAGCCTTATTCAAAGAAAAGTTATTTTTATTAAAAAAATCATTTTTATAGTCTTGATATTAAAAACAAAACATATACACTATTTATGTTAAATAATTGGGTAATTAGACTCCTTTTTTCATTATTTACATTGAAATCAATGTTTCACTTCTTATATTACGTTTTAGACAACTTACATTTCAACTTGACTCAATTTGCATTTCTTATTAATGTGAGTTACATTAGTTTAAACACGAGTTATATCAGCCTTTGTTGAATTTAAAAAAAGGCCCTGGGAGCAGGATGCTCACCGTGAGCCGCTCCGACGGTATACCAACTGATTTAGATCGGATTTCTATCGGCCGAAACCCAATTGAGCATTTTTATGAGTTTCAGTAGGGTGTTTAAAAAGTGTGAATACCTAATTGACATTTTGGCTATAGTACGGGGTCTATAGTATAGTTTTTCCCCTTTTAAGATATTAATAGCAAAAAATGCTCTTATATTTACTAGTTGAACACTCGTGCGATGCACGATTGGTGAATTTAATGCGTATAATTAATTTTAGTCAAATTTGAAATGAAAACATGCTTGTTACATTAAATTGAATTATTTAGAAGGGTGAAATACAAAAAACGTACATGTGGTTGGACACGTTTTCAGTTAGGGTCATGTGTCTCGTTTTTTAACAAAGTCGATCATATGTTTAAATTCCGTTATCACAGGAGGATCATGGCGCCTAACGCCGTTAAAAACGCCAAAGGAAGACGATGAACAGTAACCCTGATTTTTAGAAGTGCCCAAAAAATTTATTGAAAAATACTGGAAGGTGTGCCTCGTCAAGACGACCTCCAAACCATCTTCGCCTTTGGATTTTGTGATTTATTTGGATTTTTTTTTAAAAATGAATTCGCTAATATCATTTTTCGATGAACTTTCCGGTGACATAGGTGGCCGTAAACAAAAGCGAAAGATGACAGGCCTAGAGGTCGTCTTATTAAGGCTCATCTCTCAGTATTTTTCTTTGAATTTTCAAGACACTTGAAAATCGTAAATACTATTCATCATCTTCCTCTGACGGTCAGACGTCATGACCCTTTGTGACAAGGAAGTTTAAACATATGATCTATTTTGTTAAAAAATGAAACACATGACCCTATCTGCATGAAAACGGGCACAACCACACATATGTTTTCTATACTTTTCCCTATTTAGAATTATACTCTGTACAATAATAAAGCTTGACATAAAATGAAATATATTCAATATGATTTATCAATGATTACGGAGTTGTACAAAAAAAAATGTAGCACCACAAAACAGTAAGTAACATGCAATATAAATATAATTTGAATGTACATTAGATTCCATGCTATAGCCTATAGGTTATGAAACCCCTTTTTATATAAAAATTCTCGATTTCAATATTTGTTCTCTCTCATTATTGTTAGCCATGTGATTTTTAACACTTGGCAATTAGATACTCTTGATACAATCACATAAAGTTGTTCATGATTACAAACAGGTTTTTCAACAAAAAAGTAACATCCGACACCGAATGTCTTTGATTTTTATTTACCATCATGACATAATAAGTCACATTCGGGTATTAACACATTCAGATTTGGAATGAAATGTTGGGTGTGTTTCGGAAAAAATGAATAAATATTAATTAAATAAAATTAATTAATAAATAAAATAGCTAAAAAAACATAAAATAAGATGGAGTAGATTTTAGCCAGAGCTCGTGCTACGCACAATGTCCTTAAAACGTATTCGTCACCTCCCACGGTGCTAGAAGCGTTGCAACGACTGTTTCCCAGGATACGGTGGCTAACGAACGATCGTTTGAGCACACAAACGAAAGTCCCGGCGAACTGGAACAATAGCCGAACACTAGGGAAATTTCGGAGTAGCTGGAAGTGTTTTTTAGCTCAAGAAACGTGAGGAATGTATTGTGTGTTGTGTCTTGTTGCAAACCACCTGCCAGCTATTTATAGGAGGATTTTTGGTGTGTTAAATGGGGTGTTAATGGACCTGAACGTTGGACATCAATGACCTGTCCGTTGGGCATTGAATAGTCCATAAACTGTCTATTTAACGCAGCATTAAAAGACACGAACGTTGGGCATTTATTGTTGTAACGGATCAGAAGACCTTCTGGTGCGAATAGAAGGCCTCGAGCGTCTCTGTTGCGAACAGAAGACCTCGAGCGTCTCTGTTGTGGACAAAACTCGAGCACTTCTGTACAGAAACGGAGCATCTCTGTTTCGCACAGAATTCGACCCCTTCTGGCACTGGGAAAAACAAAACGTTACGGGAAGAAATAAAAATTAGACCGTATCTTTGAATGATATATTTTTCGGACAGCATTCGTGTACGCAAATCAGACACGAACGTTGGGCATTTATTGTTGTAACGGATCAGAAGACCTTCTGGTGCGAATAGAAGGCCTCGAGCGTCTCTGTTGCGAACAGAAGACCTCGAGCGTCTCTGTTGCGAACGGGAGACCTCGAGCGTCTCTGTTGCGGACAGAACTCGAGCACTTCTGTACAGAAACGGAGCATCTCTGTTTCGCGCAGAATTCGACCCCTTCTGGCACTGGGAAAAACAAAACGTTACGGGAAGAAATAAAAATTAGACCGTATCTTTGAATGATATATTTTTCGGACAACATTCGTGTACGCAAATCGCCCGCGCACACGAGTCACGATTTTCCTTCTCCGTTTTGGGATTTGATCGGCACAGGGCACCCCCCTGCGCGCCTGCGCGTAAGAGAGAGCCTTTACCTTTAGGAATCTTAATTCCTTAAAAGAGGCTTCCCTTTATAAGGGGGTGAAAATCTCTTGAGTTTTCCGGCGTGGGATAAAACACATTAGAAACCCATCATTTTCTCAGTTTTTTCATTTCAACGAGTGAACTTCGAGAATCAATTTCTCATTCACCCGTTATCCGTTTTGAGTATACCACATATCGAATTGTAGCCCTTAACAAGGACAATCCGAAACCACTTTAACCTGACCCAAATCGGAAGTGGACGCCACTCAAATAATTGCTCCAAAATGACTATTTAATGCAATTTTTAACACATTTTTCCAACATGAAAAGCTAACATCACAAGGTGTTAAGGAATGAGTGTCTGGGAACGAACACCTTCAATCCCTCACAGGGTTAAAATCTTTTAAAATGTTCCGTTGGTAATTCACCTGCTTGATGCATAAATTATTTTGCCATAGAATTATTCCATTTCCAAAGGTTTATCGGAGTATGTATTAATTGAAGATAAATTATTTATAATGACTAAGTAATAGAGTGATTACAAATTTATATGTATTGTATTTTTAGATGAATTGACCGTGTTAACAGGTAAATTAGGGGGTGCTAATATGTGAAAATGATCTATGTCATTTCTTAAACTATACAAATTTATGGGAAAATGTTCAAATAGGTACTTCTATTGTTTCAAACATGTCAGTTGAGTCCCTAAACCAAAAAAGTAATGTAATCATTTAAGCACATTTACTTTTAGAGCATATATTAGTTCTTTATTTAAAAAAAAATAAGTTAAGATTTTTTTTTTTGTGAAAACACATACTCTTACTACGTATGTATTTTTAAAATGTATAAATAGATGTATAAAAATAGTACTCCGTAACATACAAACAACAATAACAACAATGATAAATAACAATAATAGTAATAATAAAAATATTAATAACCTAACATAATGTTTTTCAATAATTTATTTAATCGACTTTCCAATTAAACTTTGAACTGAAATTTTGTGGACATAAAATATACTCTGTACTTCATAAAAAACATAATTACATAATTTTATCAAAAAAATTCACGGATAACAACATCAAATGACGACAGTCGAACGGCAGTGAATCAGAAAGTCCGGAGGAGAACTTTTCTCTCTATACACACACACACGTATATCTCAATGAACTGAGTGCGTATACCGTGCAACCGGTATACGGTGAGCACCGTATACCGGGACGGTTTTATATTTTTTTTTTCCTTTTGTTTTTAAAAAATGGTTATAACTTTTTTATTTTTGATCCGATTTTTATAAAATTTATATCAACATTTTTTATTTTTCATGATCTTTCAAATGAGACCAATATTGCCTATGTAATTTTAACATATTAACATTTGTGTGTAAAATATGTAACTTTAAGTGTTAAAATATGTAACTCACGTTCAGTCAAGTCAAATGCAACTCGTGTGTATAAATATGTATCTCTACGTGTAACAATATGTAACTTTACGTAAAAAAATATGTAACTCGCATTTAGACAGGTCACATGCAACTCGTGTGTATAAATATGTAACTCGCGTGTATAAATATGCAACTTTACGTGTAAAAATATGTAACTTTACGTGTAAATATATGTAAGTCGCGTTCAGACATGTCAAATGCAACTCGTGTGTATATATATATGTAACTCGCTTATAAAAAGATGTAACTTGCTTATAAAAAGATGTAACTCGCTTATAAAAAGATGTAACTTGCTTATAAAAAAATATAACTCGCTCATAAAAAGATGTAACTTAATGTATTATCAAATGTAACTGAGGCCACTGATCCACTCCCAAACAGATTCGATCTTCTATTTCACAAACCTATCATCTCCCAAACAGATTCGATTTTTCTTATAATCCAATACTCATTAATATAATAGTTCAATAATTTCTTAAAATTACATACACAATATTGGTCTCATTTGAAAGATCATGAAAAATAAAAAATGTTGATATAAATTTTATAAAAATCGGATCAAAAATAAAAAAGTTATTATCATTTTTAACATCAAAAGCAAAAAAAAAAAAAAAAGATAACTGCGTCGTTTTTGCAACCGGGCGCACCATCCTCATGGTGCGCCGGTTGCACCATATAATTTGCGCAATGAACTAGTACAACTTTTGATTTGGTTATCCAACACGTTATTATGGTGGTTCTAAATACCAGCATTTAAAGATGTACATTGGCTCATCGTGTAACTAAAAGCAATAAACATCAACCTTTTGGATTTCCCAAGCATATCAAATATATTACATCCACCCTTTGGATTTCCCAAGCATATTAAAAGTTCATTATTTGAACTTATTCCAACCCATATATAACTACTAGAGGTCATGCCTCCTTTCATGGTCTGATTGGGTGCAGAAGTTGCGTATATGATGGGGACTGGTGACTCAAAACAGACTGACAAGTATAATGGCAAGAAACATGATCAAGTCAGAGGCTATACTGATCCTACGACTAAAGCTCCTACTCCTCAATTTACTCCTTCAGGAGTTCCTGACCCACTTAGTGAGCTGATGGCTCTACCTATGCCCCTAAAGTTTCATATGAGTACTTCCAGACTAACTATCAAGAAATATTCATCTGATATCCCAAACTTGAGGGCTTGTATGTCTGATAATGATCTTGATGAGACAAATCTCAGGGATGTTGCATTTGCTTCTACCATAGTGGCTCTAGTTTCATCTGGTGTTATTCCCATTAACAATGAGGCAGCTGTTACTGTCCCTAATGAGGCTGCTCCATCTACATCCCTTGCAACTGAAAGCAATTTTAATCTATGGAGGGCTGCATCAAAGATGGTGGTAATAACATCTATCTGTATTCTTTCTTCTGGGAGCACTACTGGTAATAAACGTTGGTATGATTCCTACAGAGCAGTATTTTTGGATTTCCTAAGTGAGAAAAGGTTTGGAGAGGTCTGCAATATGATCATCCATTCTCCATCTATTGAAGGCCTCTTTGAGGTGTATACACTAGGTGACATTGAATCTGCTATTAATGTTTTCAAGTATAGGGTAACATGGCTCTCTTCTCCTGGTCTAGTGAAGAAGGCCTTAAATGCTGTAGCTGAAACGCCACTCCTTGGATACCTCAACCCTCAGGCAGTTGACCTATACCGACGATTTGATCAAGCTGGAGTTGCAGCCCAAATTGCTTCTGGTCCTTTGAATGTTTACTGCAAGGGGAATATTGACCCATTGAAGCAGAATGATATCCCCAAGGACATCCGTCTAAGAGAACTTTCCCCGATAAATGCTCCAAATGATGAACAACTTCTACGTCAAGTCAAGATTATCCTTGAAGTTTATGAAATTGATCATGGAAACTGGTACCAGGGAAAGCGTGCTGCACGAATCCAGTTTCATAGGGACACCATCTTCAGGCTACATGCTACTCAGCTCCGAGCTGCTCAGCACAATCCTATTAACCAGTTTGTGCAGGATTCTGCTGGCAAGATTGTTCATGAGCGTGCTGCACGAACCCAGGATCATATGGACACCCTCTCCCAGCTCCCAGTTGCTCAGCGTGAAGCTGTTGACCAGTTTGTCCAGGATTTTGCTTCCAAAATTGTTCTTGAGTTCAGGGACAGTGCTGAAGCAAGTGCTGTGGTGGAGGCTATGGTCTGCAATTGGAATTGAGATTGGTTTAGGTTTTATATTGTCTTGAGCATTGTCTTTAAGTGGCCAGCTGTTAAGGTTGGATTGCTGATAATCCCATAACAAGTATCTTTAGCTCTTGCCTCTTCGGTCACTGGATAGTTGATAATGGTTGGTATGGTGAGAACGATTTTTTCCATGAGGTGAAACTGAAACGAAGCACACATAATAGTTCATTGTAATGCACATTTATGTTATAATGCATGGTTCAAATTAACACAAAACTCTTGGTTTATTTATAAAATGCAACAATCAATTTCCAGTTCATGAATCATGACAATGCGCATTTTTTATTTCACATAATGCATAAGTCTAAAATTCAATGTACCAGTTACATTCTCACTTATCCAATGCAGTCTTACATTCTCATTGATAAAATGTTTCTTCTTCTCTCTATATTTATTACGGAAATCGGATCTTATTAAATTTATTAAAAAGGTACAAAGTTAATGAAGGAAGAAAAATTAGAGAATAACTAACCCAGTGAAAGCTAATTAACACTAATAAGAGAAATGGCATGTGTTGAAGAATAGTTGCAATAGATAGGAGTAAAAAACGTTGTGAAATTCCACAATACGAGCATCATATTCCATTCAGTATGCTCAAGGGCATCATTCATGATTTACTCGGAGTGGTGTATATTACAATGACTTTTATACAGAGTACTTCCTAAAATGCATAATTAGATTACAAAGATAGTATACAAAGACAAATTAGGAAATGTCCCAGGACCGGCACATCAAGGCCTAAGCCAATTGGGGAAAAAAATTACACGAAAAAGTAATCATACATTGTTTCTTAAAGTTGGGAACTATAAATTATAAAACACCACATGCCTTCTCAGGTACTATTATCTGTAAAACGATAAGTTAGGATTACATTTCTTTAAAACACTTTGTTTGACATGTTTTCATCTTCCAATAGATACCTTCCGCACAGATGTAGGCACAAAATGTACTAATAACGTGTTTTTCTAGCCCTACTCTTTCTAAAAAGAAAGTGCATTTCTCAAGAGGTAGATATGTGTATAACATGCTCAATGTAAATAAAGTGCTTTGTTTCTTCCTGGAGCAAAATCTCAGAGCAAAATCAACTTGCATGCCTGTTTATTTGCAGTTGAATGGACCAACTAATACAGCTTGCATCTCCCTGATCCAATACAGGCAGCACATTCATCTGCTTCTCCTGCTACATGGCTTAAGCAGTTTTTAATCCTGTCATTCATGACATCCTGCACAGTAATAACCACATTCCAAAGCTAACTGGGTTAGAGTGGACCCATGTTTAATTTATAGGAACGATTATCAGAAAAGTAACATAAAATGAATATGAAAGTGGAAGAAGCAATCGTGTTGTAAGATAGCATAAAAAAAGGAAGAAACAGAAGGAATGGTCACTGTGGTAAAACCAAACATATAATAATAATAATAATGAATAAGTTCCATCAACGTTTCTTCATTTCCTAGTAAATTCTGGGATCCAAACATACCCTACAACTGAATTTCTGAAAATAGGATACGAGGATGTTTAGTAGAAATAAGTATGGGAACTACTCAGGTGCTTCCTCTTTCCATACCACAAGTAGTTCATGCAACCCAAGAGGTGCGGTTATAATGTATGAAACGTTCTGGTGCTCCTTAGCAGCTTCAGCAGTCAAATGAGGAATATCCTGTCAATTAACATGTGAAAAACAACATTCTTTAGCCTCCAAAACAGGAGTTGCAGGAGGATCGATTAAAACTAGAAGAACATTTACCTGATGCCAATGCCTTCCAGGAAAGAGAAAGAATGGGCATACAATCACCCGGTCTGCCCCCTTTTGAACACACAAACTGAATGCATCTTTTATCGAGGGTTCTGCCAGCTCCTGGATAAGTTAAAACATTGAAAACAAACACTGGATATGTGTACTTGGTTTCAATTAATGTGGCTAGTCTTTAGTTCCAGAAAGATTCCTTGGATGGTATTAATACCAATGTATTCTAAAATGGATGTCCATAACATTTCTACATAAGTTGTAATAAAGTCTTCACTAGAAGCCACTACCCCACTAGTGAAGACTTCAACAATTGTCGATCATAACAATCAAAGACATCGAGTGACACAGCTTCATAAAAATTAGAATGAATTAAAAAAATGTTCTCAACAATCTACGGTTCCTAGTTAGACGGGATTCCGTATTATTTCAAGACAGAAAAAGAAAGTAGTCAAGCATGAATCTCTTTTAACGTTTAAATACCTGCAACATCATATCAGAGCCTATAAGTCACATACTCTCAACCTTAAACCTAAGCAATGGTGAGTCCATCAGGCAACTTATCTATGGAAGAAATGATGGAAATAGAAATTACTCAATATAGGACTAAAACATAAATTAAGTTCAAAAACAGGATCAAGTATGTTTTATTCCCCAAATAGAACTTACTTACTCCTATTAAAAAAATAACTTGATTAGAACTTCCTAAAATAGGAGTGAATGAGTCCTATTTTGGGAATAAGACATTGATAGTCCTATTTATGAACTTTATCCATGTTTTAGTCCTATTTAGGGAATTTCCTCGTTAAACTAGAAACCCAAGACAGGAGAGAAAAGAGAAGAAAAAACATACCATATGAGCAGGCTCAACAATGGAATAACCAGTTTTATCTCTAAACAAATTAACAAACTCATCTGCATTCATTAATTTAAGAACAGCAAGTATCAGCTCCCACAGTAACTTCCAAACCAAACCAAACAAGCTCCCTCAAAATAAAAAATAAAAAACTAAAAACAATCAATATGACAAATGGAGGGCTTACTTAGCATGAGGTTTGATTCCATGCGGCGAGACCCATGATCCACAATGATCAGTCCATCTTTGTCTCCAACAACACGATGTGTGTTCATTATGATTCCACTATTTGCAGTGCTGAAACACCGCTCTAAAGAACATAAATACTTGGTTTTCAGGGGACTTGTACCCAACTTTGAGAAATTGGGATGCACTTGTTTACAATTTACTCTTGTTCCGCTTGTTGGACAAATGTAAGTCCTCACTTTAGGACAGGTTCTCTTTGTCTGAAAAACGTGGCTTGATCTGAATTTCTTAATATATCTGGTCTAGTACTCTAGTCTGAATGTTTATGGTTTGATCTCATATTTCCAGATCTTGTTTAAATTTCTAATCTAATACATACTCCCATAGTCGCAATTTGTAAGATATGTTTCCTATTCACAGTTCACTTAGTCAACACAAATCACTCTTAATCTCTTACTTTATAAATCAATTTTTTATCAAATTTGATTCTGGTTTTTGCGACTTTGTAAAGCTTTTAATGTAGTTTCTGAATATGAAATTTTTTTTCTAAAAATATTTTGAGTGCGGACAGGGATCGGTTTGCTTTATCGTTGGTCAAACATCGTAGACCGTAAAGTATCTTACGAAGTGGGACGGAGGGAGTAGTATATTACATTTAGGCTAGCCTGTTCTGATTAAAATAAGTGTTAAGTCCATAAAAAAGATATGAAGAAAACATCACCTTAACAGAGAAATTTGAAGAGGGAAGAGAAACAGAAAACAAGTTCAACAGCATGCTCTTCTTAAGAGCAATGCAGTGTATACAATGTTATGTGTTGTAATTTGTGAAGCTATGGTGGCTTCAGATCCGCTGTCCCAATTTCCCTATCTTGGTATCTTGTCCCAACTAAGAAAAACATGCCACATTATCATAATTTGAAACCTCATCTATAACTTATTTGCATGTAAGCAAAATTGAGGAACATATACCATCTCCATAACTCCATAAGGTCCTAGGCTGGCCTTGAGGAAACAAAGACCCAAGGAGATTGAGCGAATTGCCAATTGGACAAATTACTGAGACACTATGACATACTACAATTCATCTATATCAAGTAGTTCTGTTTGCTTTGCCCATTTTCCCATCAAAACTAAGTGAAATTTGTAACAAAGATAAAAGTAGACTCTCTGTGAAGAAGCAGAGATGTCTGAATTTTTGTAATTTAGTGTAAGTTCAGTGTGGTCCGTCTTATCTGTTTGGCATCGATATCATAGATCGATTCATGTTAGCCGACCCCAAATTCTTTTGAGATTAAGGCTTGGATGTTGTTATTGTTAGTGTACTTCAGTGTAGTTCCATAGTGGATACCGGATTACAGAGAAAAGCCTAAAAATCTCTATAAATACGATGGATAACATTGACATAAATAGCAATTAAGGTATAACAATTACACAATATAAGTTATATTTATGCAGTGAAGTAAGTGTCTCTAGTAACATTAATACGGTTAGAAAATTAAATCCAAACTTAGAATCATAGCACTAAACTAGTAACCACAAAAATTAAAAGTTTTCTTAAATGGAAGTTCTGATAAGGGAGGATTTGACTTTGCACCCCATAGTTAATGGTTTAGGCAAAACTGAACTTTGCACCTCATTAGAAAAATGTGTGCACCCTATTTATTATAACATTTTAGTCTTTGCAGTTTGCACCTCATTCCTTCACATTTTTTTTTAACTAATGGGGGCGCACATTAACTTTTCTTAAAATGGAACGTGAAGTCCAATGCAAAATCACATTACCCCTTCTATTAAACTGAATAATAACTGAACAGATGCCAATTTTTAATTTTAACAGTTTCTAGTATTTTTCGTCTTCATTGAAAGAATGAAGAGTAAGATACACAAAAAGAGAGGCAGGGCTTACAGAGCAGGAGAGTTGATGATGGAGGATAGGGCTCAGAAGTTTACTGCAGGTTTGAAGCGGGTAGAAGGGGAAGCAAAGAGAGTAGACAATGACAGTAAGGAGAGGATAATATTTTTATTCATTTATTTTGGATTAACTAAAAAGAAATTATTCAAAATAGGAGTAAAACGGTACACAGTTAAAAAAAGATTAAGTATGTTTTATTCCTAAAGTAAGATTTATTTACTCATATTAAAGGAATAAATAGAGGGTATTTATGGGACGGATGAAAAAGCAAAATGTATGATTAATTTAGGGAAGTAGGTAGTTTCAAATAAGGCCATGTTCAAAATTAAAAAAGGACTTGCTAAAGTATAAAAATATTATATTAAAAATACTCCGTAATAATATTTCTTGAAAGTAATGCTCCGTATAATATGAAAAGTTGTTTTATCAAAAGTAAATAATGATACTACGTAATATACAATTCAACTCAAATATAATAAACCAAAACTATTAACAGTAAAAGGTTATAAAAATTACCTACAATATCATCATTACCGTTAATATAACCACCAATATCACAACTATTATCAATTAAGCATTAATATTTGCATCAACATTATAATCAATATCAATGATAATACTAAAAATTAATAATAACATCATTTACACCAACATTAACACATATATTTTCATATTCCAAAACAAATAGTGATTCTTTTGTAACAAATTTAGGTTTTTTAATATCCAGATTGATATTTTAAATTTCTAAGGGACAAAATAAAATGGAAAAATCAAAAGATAACAATAATGAAATAAAGGAAACAAAAACCTGAAGAGAAACTTTGTGCGAGGGCTGACTGTGTGCTCTGGGTTGACTCTATCTGGCCTTAGAAGGACTGAAGAAGCTCAGTCTGAGTCCTTCAATCTTTCAGAAAATAAGCGTTGACGATGCTACGCCTCCAAAATCCAATGACCAAATATGTGTAATCGCCACTCGCCTTATATCCAAATTACAGAAATGTGAAATTGGTGAATGAGTGAATCAGAAGAAGGTAAGAACTAACAAGCGAAGATATCTTGATATTGAAGCCTGTTACTTCTTCAGCCTGCAAAACAAATCTGAGAAGCTTTGGGCACGGGTGCATGGGGTTTTTGCTAAACAGAGAAATTACTTTTTGATGGTCTCGGATTGGGCCGATTAAAATGCTTTTGTAAAATCAAAGCATATTGGTCTTTAAAATCATGAACAATTCAAATCCAAAGAACATAAATATTTTGTTTAAGATGCAAGAAAATAAATAAGATAGATTTTCTAAAAATATTACGAAATAAACTTATGAATAAAAATGAGACTAAAGTTCAGGGCGGGTCCTGGGAAAATGGAGGCTATGGGCAATAACAAAATTTGGACATTCCTTTCTAACACAAATAGAAATGAAACATAAATAAAAATCACAATAGTAACAAATAATGATAATTTGTGTTAAATTACAAGTTCATTAAGAAAATAATAATAAAAACCAAAGCACTCATTAAGTGAAAAGTATGAATTTATTGAAATCCTCCAAGAACCTGTACTTTTTTCTTGAAACTAGTGGCTGAATAGAATTAGTAATATCTGTATGAAAAAGAACAAACCTTTAGTACGAAACACAACCCAAACCCAAACCCACAAGAAGATAATTTGTGTGAATAAGGCCTCTTTTCAAGATAGGATGATTTAATCAACAGAACATGAAAAAAGAGCCTTACATAGATCATCATCTACAATAGACATTACTAGCAGCAGATTGAAACAAAGTAATATGGCAGTTATCCACTGTTCAAACTAATGAGCTGGACACCATGGAATGGAATGCATAATATTGTAACAAGATTGCTCCTCCAAGATTTTGTAGAATTAACACAGAGCTAATCCCCCTATCTGCTCGTGGAATCCAAACCCTTTCATTCCATATGGTTTTAATGTCACTTTGATTTATGTGAAAAGTTGATTTATTTTTTGTTTAAGGACTATAACTAACAAGTTAACAAGTATAAACATATTTATACCAATTTATTAAATATAAATAGTTTAATTAATTCATCAATTAATTACATTAAATTATACATAACAACCTAATTTTTTAAATTTCATTATTTCATCAATTCATCAGGTTAGTAAGCGGACACCCTGAATCCCTATTCCCCATTGATCCTAAGAAATGATTAAAATCACATATTCACATAAAGTGATAACTTACACAAAAAATTAATAATGAAAATATTAATAAATTATTAATTCATTTCTTATCAGTTACAGAGGAGTGGAGGAATTACCTGGAGTGGAGTAGTGGAGTCTTCGATTTGCTGATGGGAAGAAGAAAACGAGTGAAGAACCGCAGTCCCCAGCCGCAGGTCTCGCTCAGTCGCTCGTCTCACATAGTCGCTGGCTATGTGGCTGCGCCCTTTGGCCTTTCGCACTTCGTCCCCAGAATCGCAGTTGTCATGTTCGCCCCTCGCCCACTCCCCTTCGCTTCACGCCTTCAGCCCTTCACACCGTTTCTAGCTCCTTTTAATTTTGCTATTTGGTCAAGTGGCTAAGTAATACGGAACAGTAGAGTAGCAGTATACTACTACTAAATTTTTTTTGGCCCTCCAACTTTTTGGGCCTTGTCCGATTGTGCTGCCTACCCTCCCTCTGAGGCAGCCTGCTTACTCTAGATAAATCATTCACAAGTTAGTCTAGATATATTTTCATCATGATTACAGTAAACAAATTGAATATATCTGTAGTTACTAAAGTTTACTAGGTCATGTTTTCATCGTCCATGATTATAGAGAGACTTAGAGAGAAGTCAGAGAAAAAGTAAGAGACGGAGTGAGTATTCAATATGAATTCAGCGTGGTTTACAAATGGGGAAAGGGGTGCTATTTATAGCAGCAATAAATGCTAGATAAGGACACATGTTAGTATTCTGGTGGTCGAGGGGTCACCTCAGCCGGGGTGGCACTGGCACTCGCATGTGGCCGCATTAAATGTGGTGGTTGGACGTGACGTCTGTACTTGGTACGGTGATCCGGCACATGTGATTGGAAGATTCTGCCGAGGAGGATGCCTTCGGCTGTAGATGACAGTCCGAAGGCTCCGCGTACCGAGGGCCTCAGAGTGCCGAGGGCTCTAATTGCCGAAGGTTGCTGTTTTCGCCGTTTTCTCCCAGGCACTTCGAGTGCTCAAAAGCAGTTGTACTGTAAGTTTATAAGTCTTCGGCCATGGTGGCCGAAGGCACCCAAGTGTACGTCGTGGCTGCTTGGCACTTGGGGCGCTGCGATTTGGGACTGTTGTGCTTCCTGGGCTTATTGGGCCTTTGTTATAGTAGCGGGAGTCTATGGGCCGGGGGTCCCCGGGCCATATACTCCATCAAGAGTCACTCACTCCTTTTGTCGAAAGGTACTTGAGGGAAAAGGAGTAATTGCGTTTGTCCTCTGATGCTGCCTTGTTGTAGCTTGTAAACCTGTGAGAGATTTGCGTTTGCACACGATTTTGCCGGGGGCAGTCCTTAAGTCCCCCATATTTTGGGACTGAAGGATGTTGATGTTTTTGTGAGAATAATTTTTAGCATTCTGTGATTTTCCCGGAGGGGTTCTCCAGTCCCCCACTCCTTGAGGCACTTGTAAAGTGGTGAAAAGGAGTAGAGTGGTGCTTGCTGTTGCACGGGGCCGAAGTTTGACACTTTTCGTTTCATTTTTGGGGGATGCCTCGTTAAAAACCTCATTAGGAAAAACCCTGTGGGAAAAAATCCTAATGAGGGAAAAAGAGTGCACCGAATTCCCCCAATGATGAATCGAAAAGGTGAAACCTTGGTCTGAGATGAAGGACAAAGTTGATGCTGAAGGTTATCCTTGATCTGAGGGCGTGTGCGTGGAGTTGCCGAAGGGGCTTTGTTGATATCCCAGAGGGTCTACTGGGAGCATTCCTCCGAAGGCGCCCGTAGTTGATAATAATGAGCGAGCATCCCGGGGTCTGCCGAGGGTAGTCCCCCAGTCAATGAGGCTGAAGGCGTGATCATTGTTGATGAATGCCAGTGATTATCCCTGTGTGCCGAGGAGTTCCCTGTTATTTGAAGGTGTGACCCCGGGGGGTTTCCTGGTTCTCGGCATGTTGAGGGCTGAGGGGTCCTGAGGGGTTTCCCGTTGTTAATCTGTGGGCTCCCTTTGATGAAGGAGTCCGAAAGAGGAAGCCTGAAGGCATGCACAGTGTTGTTTGATAGGTGCCAACTGAGGGCACCTTAGCCTGTGAAATAGAGCCGTTGAGATATGACCGTTGGAATATGGATCGTCAGAATATAGCCGTTGGAGGTGACGTCCACGTGGCGTGCACCTGCTGGCTGACTGCGGGCCGGTGTCACCGGTGGGTGGAAGGGACGGCGTGTAATGATGATTTTTCTCTCGGGGGCCCGGTTTCATGGCCCAAGCCTGGAGTTGGGAGGCTATAAATACCCCATGGCCAGGGCCATTCTTCTTGTGCGATCATTGTAGCGAAGCTCTGGCAAAATATTTCTAGAGAGAGAAAGTTTCCTTTGATCCAATCCTCGTTTTCAAGATCAGTTCTTCACCCGTTCTTCACCGTTTTAGTAAGTTCTGCTCTCTGGCTTTAGATTAAGTGTTAGAGCTCTTTTAGGAAGCCTTCGGTTTAGAAACCCTTGTACTCTAGTTCTAAAAAAATGTCATCCCAAAGTGACTCGCAAGACATCTCGAGGGAGCCCTCGGCTGAGGAGGAAAGCATCTCCGATGTGGAGTCTACAAGCGAGCAGCCCTCGGCCGGTGGTGATTCTGCTCTCGCTAGGGAGTTGTAAAAAGATCTGGTTACCGAAGTCAAAGCCGAGGACTTCGAGCAAGTTAATGCCGACGAGGAGATGGCCCTCGCTATGCAAACTGTCGTCGAGGAGGAGGAGAGGGAGCACCAACGGGTAACCATCGCCATCCCTTTAGCCATAGCCACCGGGGAAGGGACCGCTCGAGCCCTCACCCCAGAACCTCTCAGAGCGGCACCCTCGGCGAAGGGCGAGAAAAAGATGAAGGTCCCCAAGAAAAAGGGAAGTGTTGCAGACGCGGGGAAGCCTGTTGATATGCCCGAGGGGTACTCCTACCTGAACACCGCCGCCCTGGAGTTGAAGTCGAAGGCTGATATGGCTGAATGCTATGTGACCCAGCTTCATGCCTTCATGTAGGGCCCTCGGTGACAGTGATAGAACCAGGTCCTGACGATGTGTTGTCTCGGGCGCCCGAGGGGTGCATCGCAGTGCATATCCTCTCCGTTTCAATGGGCCTTCAATTTCCCTTACACCCCTTCCTCCGGGAGTACCTCCGGTTCGTGGGCTTGGTCCCTTGCCAACTCACCCCTAACAGCCACTCGTACATTGCTGGATTTCTTCACCTCTGCTGAGACTGCGGGGTGGCCCATAGCCTCGACCTATTTTTCCAAAGTTTCAATCTTTGCCGGGGGGGCATGCAAACGCCGAGGGTTTTGCAAACTTGCAGCAGATCGCCCAGTGGAGGCTGTTCACCGAGGTGCCCTCTTCAAACAAGGGATGGAGGGAGCGGTGGTGCTATGTTAGGCTAACCGAGAACCCCTTCCCGAGGGAGTTGTGGGACCGTTTCCGTCGGCATGAGAGGGTGAGAAGTGCCGCCCTCGAAAAGGATGGCAAGGTGATTGCCAAGTTTCCGGAGGGTCGTTTGAAGAACGTGACGATCAAGGAATGAACCCTCGAGGACGATTTGTATCTCCTCGGCTTCCGGTGCTATGGTTTCTTGGGGGAAACGGATGAGAAATACCCCCTTATTGACAAAGCCTTCGAGGGGACATGAGGTAGCTACCGAGGGCCTTCATTTTTGTACTTAGGAATTTTTGCATTTTGATATTTGTTGACGCCTTTGACCCTTCGGCCTAACCCGTCCCCGTTCTTTTGCAGGTACTAGCATGGACCCAAACGCTCTCTTTGCGTTGAAGAAGAAGAAGGGCAAGGCCCAAGCAAAGAAGAAGGATCCCTCGGGTCAGAAGCCTGTGGATGTGTTCTTTCAGAGGGAGGTGGTGGAGCCCTCGACTACTCACGCCGGTGCTGTGGACGGAAGCTCTCAGGAGGCTGCTGCTGCCAAGAAGAAGAAGGCCGTCGGAAAGAGTGGTGGTCCCGAGGGCAAGAAACCCAAGAAGGGGGATGCCGGGAAGGATGACCCCCCGGTTG